GAAAATGTGGTGCATATACACAATGGACTACTGTTTAGCCTTAAAAGGAGGGGGACATTCTGTCATTTGCAACAACATGGATGAACCTAGAGGGCTGCATGCTGAGAGAAATCAGTCAGGCACAGAAAGGTAAGTACCACATGTTCTCACTTATGCTGGAACCTAAAACAAGCAGGGATCAGACTGTTGGCTATCAGAGGCTAGAGGGTGGGGGCAATGGAGAGATGTTGTTAAAATGTATAATGTCTTAGACAAGAGGAATCAGTAAGTATTTGAGGTGATGGATATGTTAATTAGATTAATTCAACCATTCCATATTGTGCACATATATCATCCATCACTTTGTAACCCATAAATATGTACAATTATAATTTGTCAACATTCAATAACAATAAAATTTAAAAATCATTCAGACTATTACAATATCCAAGTATGTATGTCCTTATACATAAATATTCAGAGCAGTATTGTTCCTAACAACCAAAAATGGAAACAACCCAATATCCACCAGCTCATAAATTGATAAAGAAAATGTGTTATATACATGCAATGGAATATTACTCAGACATAAAAAGAAATGAAGTACTGATATATGAATCTTGAATACATGCTAACATTTTAAAGAAACCAGATATAAAAGTACACATATTGTATGATCCCATTTATATGAAATATCCAAAATAAGAAAATACATAAAGACAGAAAGTATTTTAGCAATTGCCAGGGACTGGGAGGATAAAGGAATGGGAAGTGACTGCTCATGGGTGTGGGGACTTTTGGAGGGCTCATGAAAATGTTCTGGAATTAAATAGTGGTGATGATCAGCCAGGCACTGGTAGCTCATGCCCGTAATCCTAGCTACTCAGGAGGCTGAGATCAGGAGGATTGTGGTTTGAAGCCACCCCAGGCAAATAGTTCTTGAGACCCTATCTCAAAAAAATCCATCACAATAAAAGGGCTGGTGGAGTGGCTCAAGGTATAAGTCCTGAGTTCAGATCCCAGTACCACCCCCCACCAAAAAAAAGTGGTGATGGTTGCACAGCTCTATAAATATATGGAAAACCACTGAGTCAAACATGTTAAAAATGTGAGCTTTATGTTATGTGAGTTACTTGCCAACAAAGCTGTTATGTAAAAAAAAAGATTAAGACTCTTCTACATAATCTTCAAAATATATATGACAGGCAAGATAGAATTATAGAACCATGTGTGTAAAAGCTAGATATTGTAAAATAGATTATATAGATTTTATATATGAAGACAGAGAACAGACTTGGAGACTTTCCGATACCCTTTTATGCTTTTCATTGTTTGTAGTAGATATTGTATCAGTTTTATGAATCTATATATCTGTATCTACATACCATAAGTTCTAGAATCACATTGCTAATGGAACATTCATCTTTTCTTTCCTTTTAGGAAACAATTAGTGAAGTCCCTACACTCAAAGTAGTCAATAAAATGCTGTCTTTACGAAATTCCAGGTTAGTAAAGTCAAGACAGTCATCTGAATGCCCGAAAGTCATGGCTACTAAATAGTTCTGAGCTGCTGACTTGAGAAAACACAGCATTTAGGGTACTTTTTTACATTAGTATCTTGATTCTGCTCCCAATCCCTTCTCCCCTCACCACTCCTTTACTCCCACACTGTACAGAATCCTGATTTAAAGAGAAGATAATCCATTAGCATAGGTTTAAGGCTATTTTAATTTTCGCTTTCTTTGAGCTTGACAGTTGTAAAAAGCTGAAATTCTATCAATGTTGTAACCCTAAGCTTCTTCCCAGCAGTCTATCTATATGATATCCTTATACATGGCCTTTCTCAGTTTCTCAAGAACAGGTTTGGTAGAGTCAGCTGAAAGTCTTCAAGAGCCTGAAAGACAAAAGTCAGAAGGAGCAACGGCAATCCCAAAGTCCCCTGAGGCTCTTTCATGTTCACAGAATTCTGTAACTGGATAAATAGATGTGGCTTCTCTGAAAGAGACTCACAGCATAGAAGAATAAGACCAAAAGCCCTAAGCGTAAAACCATTGGTGTCCAAACTATACTGAGCAAGCCCGCTAACAAAGTTTGAACATAAAGATGGACTCTGGCATGGAGAAGTTTCTGCAGATCTCTACTGGACATCAACTAGGAGTCTTCATAATTGCTGATAAATTCATTAAAGTTTCTAAAGGTGTATTTCTCAAGTTTGTTTGATATACTCAAATGCCTTTTGTATTTGATCAATATAGTGACTTAAGTTCAATGACTATAATAGGTTACTCTTTAGAGCATATGTATGGTGTTCATTCTGCATTCTTTTCTATTAATTTTTAATACATAATTATTTAAAAAGTAAAAGTAGTGTAATCATATTAAAGCAAATTTATTTTATTTTGAGACAGAGGGGTCTTGCTATATAGCTCAGACTGGCCTCAAACTCAGATTTTCCTCTTATGCCTCTTGAGTGTGGGGATTATGAGCCTGTATCACTGTGCTCAGCTTAAAGCAAATATTGAAAAAAAAGAAAAAGCATCCTATAATTGCATAGTTTTCTTGCTACGGAGCCCACGATTGTCTTGAACTTGCCATCTTCCTGCCACATCTCCCCAGTGCTGTGATTGCAGAGATGGGTCACCATGCCCAGCTAATCCCACATCCATACAACTAAGTTCATTTTGGAGTCATTTCCTTCTTATCCTTATCCAAATTCACATATTTTAAGTGGTTATTGTATATTCATTTTCAGAGTCTGATTTTTAGCTTAATATACCATATTAGTAGCAACATGATATTCTATAAATTACTTACCCTTTCACTTGTTATCTGACATTTCAATTGTTTTTACTTTTCACTATTTAAGATTATGCTGTGGTGAAGTTCTGTGTGCATGTAGCTCTTCTCTCGAATTACTCTAGAAAACAAATTTGCAAGATGAGCATAATTGGGTCAGTGTATATAAACTTACCATTCTGGCACATCACTCGTCACACATTGCTTAAAAACATCCTCTGCCCATAGGCAAGCTGCTTGGCTTCCTTAAGCCTCACTTTTTCTGTAAACAATAGCAAGCAATCATTGTTCCCTCAAACAATAATAGTATCTATCCCATAGGAATATGAGGGCCAACTGAAATTGAAGCACTTAGTGAATGCTATTAAATAATGCTCATCATCACTTATTTTCACTAGTTTATGAATATACCAGTTTTTCCACGACCTCATCAACATTAGATAGTATCAGTGAAAAACATTTTGTTTTTGGAAGGTGGCTGCTGATGCTCCTTATTCCCCTTCTCCTCTTTCTTCTTCAGTTGGATAGGGAGACCAAGAGAGAGGAAGTATCTAGAAAAAAGATGGTTCCTTAAATGAGATGCACTGAACAATTTTTATGTACACATAAGGAAGAATGATCTAAGGATATAGAAAATCATATCAAATTGTATCAAATGCATTCAAAAGACTGATCAAATGTATCAAAAGATTCTGAGCCTTACCTAAGGTCACCTCTTTCAGTCACTACTCATTGAATACCTACTATGTGCTATACAACAGTAGGTACTACAGCTACCACGGTGAACAAGACAAGATTATTTATGAAGTTTATGTCCTATTAGGGAGGAGGGTATCTGTGTGGCACGGAATGAACTGTGGACACAGAGCATGTAATTTTGGATGGTGACCTGAGGAAAACCCGTAACCTCAGTGACAATGGGCTACTTTTTGCTTGGGTGTAATGTTGCCTTTCAAGAAGTGGTATTTGGGCTGAGTTCTGAACTATAAGGAACAAACCCCCTTTTCCCAGTAAGATCTGTAAGAAGCTGGGTGTGGTGACACACACCTGTGACCGTGGAACTTGGGAGGCTGAGGCTGGAGGATCACAAGTTGGAGGCCATCCTGGGTTAGTGAGATCCTGTCTCAAAACCAACCAACCAACAACACCCACCCCCCCCTCGCCACCGTGAGATTATTTCAGCAGACATAACTCATACTAAGGCCCTATAGAGAGTAGTGATTTCAATACCTCAGTGAACAGAGAGGCAAGGCATATTAAATAGCCGAGGGTGAGTGGTACAAGATGAGGGTTTGCATGTAAGAAGTGCATTTCATTCTAAATTTGGGAAACAGGAGTGATTTACCAGCACAAAGGTTATTTTTGAAGCTCTAGCTGCTCTGTGTGGAAATAAGCTGGAAGCTTGTGGCAGAACTGAAAGTTCTAAGTGTTCTGTCAGCTCGGTGGCTCAGGCTTGTAATCCTAGGTATTTGAAAGGGCCAGCGCAAGACCCCATCTCAACAAATAAAACTGGGCATGGTGGTCCGTGCCTGTCATCCCAGCTACTCGCGCAAAGAATGAAGCAAAAAGGGACTGGGAGAGTGGCTCAAGTGGTGGAGCACCTGCCTAGCCAGCGTAAGGCTCTGAGTTCAAACTCCAATACCGACTAAAAAGAGGAGAAAAAAAAAAAAGAAAAATTAGCGTCCCGATTCCCAGGAACAGATGAGCAAGGTTCCCGTGCCATGCTGTTTTAAAACGCCAAGGAAGGGGCTGGTAGGGTGGCTCAAATGGTAGAGTGCCTGCCTAGCAAGCTTGAGAGCCTGAGTTCAAGTCCCAGCAACACCAAAAAAAAAAAAAAAGAAAAAACGCCGAGGATGAATAAAAATGGAGGCCCCTACTAGCCTCATGGGTTCTCTCCATTGGGCTTCGGTGAGGGCGAGAATGTATGATGATTAAGTCCTGCCTGATAAGTACCCTGAACTGCCTAGCCCAAACGCTCTAGCCGGAGAAACATTAATTTCTACTGCACTCGTACAGCCTCGCAAGTGGGCCGCCCCTCGACCTTGAGCAAACATGCGCAGGTTTCCTGCTTCTGTTTCCTCCCCTCCTTCTTCCCGATATTCCCCGCCCCACGTCGCCCGGAGCTCCGGTATTTCCGGGGGGCGGAGCCCGGCCTCGAACGGATCCCACTGCGCCTGCGCGGCCGGCAAGCACCTCCCGCCCAAAGCGCGATTTAGCTTACCGGAAGCCGGGCTTCTGTTTCCGGGTCGGAGCCATGGCGGTGGCAAATTCAAGCCCTGTCAACCCCGTGGTTTTCTTTGACGTTAGCATTGGCGGTCAGGTGAGATACGGGTGGCCCCCCAGACCAGCGCCGAAGGGAAACTGCACGCGGGTAGCCAGAAAGAGCTCACCAACACGGGAAGAGAGGACTCGAGAGTCCAGAAAGTGAAATCGCATCAGAGCCCCCCTACTTGATGGGCGTGAGGAAGGAAGACCTAGGTTCTTGCCCACCCTCCTGGGGGCACTGGACATAGCGAAAGTTAGGCTAGGGAGCCGGAGGTGGAGGTGGGGATTGCGAGTAAATGGGGGAGTGGGCATTTCTTCTGACTGGGTCGTCTGTCCCTGTCGCTTGCAGGAAGTTGGACGCATGAAGATCGAACTGTTTGCAGACGTCGTGCCTAAAACCGCCGAGAACTTTAGGTAAGGAACTTCCAGTGCGTGATTAGCCGAGGCACAAGCCGAGCTCCAGTCAGTTTACGGAATGACCATCGGCTTCTGTCGTCCACTCATGCCCTTGAGGTCTGATTCCTTGGTATTGCTGTGTACAATGGTTTCCGTTTTTTACTGTTCCCATGTCGTTTCATGTTGTTATGTAGTCTGGCTGACTCCTGTGTGTTTGCTGGCCCCTATGTCTCTACCCTCCCTACTGAGATTAGAGGTGCTCACAGCAGTGATGCCATGGTAACTGAATCGTCCACTCTTTTCCTTTTTAGGCAGTTCTGCACTGGAGAATTCAGGTTAGTCTTTCAGACGTGTTTGACTTCGTTGTCTCCTGCTGAGGGGTGTCCTTGGGCTTCGGTGAGGGTATTGGGAAAACACTGGCAGACCTTGAGTGATACAAAATATTACGCCAGGGTTCTGTTCTCAGTTCATTTACCTTCTTTATCTATTTTCTCCTGATCATCTTTAGGAGAGTCCCTTTGGCTCCGGTATGTTGTAAACTGAAAAGACCTATGATTATCTGACATCATTTCAAGTCTCTTTCTTTTTGGTTACAGAAAAGATGGGGTCCCAATAGGATACAAAGGGAGCACTTTCCACAGGTAAGGGTTTGGCAAGCCATTCTTGAAGCTTTCAGAAATGCAGTCATCCTTTGGTATCTGTAGAGAATTGCTTCTAGGGTTCCAGACAGGTAACACTTGCCTAGCATGTGTGAGGGCCTGGGTTTGATCCCCAGCACTGCAAACAAACAAACAAAACAAAACAACAAAACTTTCATGTAACTATGCACATCTCTTTTATATTTCAAACATCTCTAGATAACTCATAATACATAATACAATGTAAAACGCTATACAAGTAGTTATAGTACTGTATTGTGAGAATAATGAGAAGAGTGTAGAAAGTTTGTACCTGTTCAGTATAAATGTGTTTTGTTTTTTTTCTTTTTTGGCAGTCCTGGGGTTTGGATTTGAAGTGGAGGGTTTACACTTGCTAGGCAGACTCTCTGCCACTTGAGCCATACCTCCAGCCCCTGAATAGTTTTGTTTTATAGTTGGTTCCAATGATGTGGAACCTGTGGATACAGAGGACTACTTGTGTTTCCTTGGAGGGTTAGGCTTTTTAGAAGAACATAAAACCAGAGGCTAATTCTTAGGTCTTGGTCAGAAATGTTTTTATGGACTCAATAACTGATGGAAGATTTATTAAATATTCTAACTCTATTTATACTCCTCTACTAGTTCATTTTATGTAGTTAAAGCAGAAAGGACCCATCATCCTAATGTCCTGTCTTTTTTTTTTTTTTTTAATTAAGTGCATAACTATATCCTGCTGGTTGATGTATATTTGTGAAATGGCCAAATCTGATTATTCTAGATAACCAGCTTCATTTCACTACAGAATCTGCCCCATGACCTCACTGTAGTTAGTAAGGTGTTAGCATGTAACTATGAACCTAAATAACAATCAGAGATTCTTCAAGAAATAATGATACTTATGTAGGAATAACAGAGTGTTGCAATGTGAATACACGTGCTATAATAAACTATATTCAAGGACGTTGAGGAAAAAGGAAGTTTTTTTTTTGTTTTGGTGGTACTGGGTGTTTAAACTCAGGGCCTACAGCTTGAGTCACTCCACCAGCCCTTTTTTATGATGGGTTTTTTCGAGATAGGGTCTCACAAACTATTTGCCAAGAGGATCGAACCCTGATCTTGTTGATCTCTGTCTCCTGAGTAGCTAGGAACCACTGGCGCTGAGGGAAGTTTTTAAAGGCAAAAATGAGGATTGCATAAGATATTTTGAAACAATAATCCTTAGCTACAAGGATCAATAACAAGGGAACACCAGTCTGAATTTGAACAGATGTTTTCTCGGCAGATATCCTTACAGAAGTATATTTTGTGGTAGCCTTTGTGCAGGTAATGGTTTTGGCAGAGTCTTTTGTGATAGTTACTGTTATCAGGCAATCGTCTGTGAGGACCTGTCCTTCTAACCTCACTTTATTTTTATTGGGGTTGACGTAATGACTCCATTTTGATTCTGATCACTTTCATGTAACTCTGTCAAGAGCTTTAGAGCTATAGTCTCTAATCCTTAGCAGCATTCCTGTGAGGTAGTATGTGTTATCTACATTATACAGAGGAGGAAACTGAGGCTTAGAATGGTTAAGGACCATGCCTAGCGATAATAGCTAACAGTTATTGAGCCCTTATGTGTATAGTAGTATAAATTTACATTAAAGCCTTGACTTGCCTTTTGCTTGGTAAATATTTTAGTAGTTTTTCATGCAAGGATTCAGCCCTTTCCCCTCGTTATTGTTCAGGTACTACATCATGTACTTAGGTCAACTTTAAGATGCCCCGACTTATAATTAAAACCTGTTTTTGCCAGGCCTTGGTGGCTTGTGCTTATAATCCTAACTACTTTGGAGGCTGAGATTGAGATGATCACAGTTAGAGGCTAGCCCAAGCAAATAGTTCAAGAGACCCCATCTTGGACTGGCAGAGTGACTCAAGAGGTAAAAGTACCTACCTACCAAGCGTGAACCCCTGAGTTCAAATCCCAGTGCCTCAAAAAAAAAAAAAAAAGAGACCCAGCACCAAAATAGCCAGAGCAAAATGGACTTTAGGAGTGCCTCATGCGATAGTGTGGCTGCACTGCAAGCCCAAAGCCCTCAGTTGAAACCCCAATCCCACCAAAAATATAAAAGATACAAAAAATACAACACTTTTTTTGGTTAGTAGTCCTCTCAGCTCACTTGCTCCAGGAAAGAATAATCATTTTGTAAGGTATATTTCGAAATTAATGTTAATCTAATAGTTCAGCGACTAAGTCATTATTTTTTTAAATCATAGAATTTCTCAGGATCCTTTCCTCTCTGTTTCAGGGTCATAAAGGATTTCATGATTCAGGGTGGAGATTTTGTTAATGTAAGTATTGTGCTATTCCTTTCTTATCAAAGAAATATAGATTTAATTTTTGTTGTTATTGCTGTTGTTGCCACTGCTGTTTCTACTGCAGGGACCCAGTCCTGAGACTTGAAAGCAGTAGCTAAGTTTGATGGGGAGAAGATGTGATATCTGTGTTCTGTACAGTTACTGGCTACTACTGACTGTAACATTAGTTTAACAGACATCCATACTTAAATTGAACCATTAACTTCCATGGTCCAAACCTCAGCCATCTGGGGCCAAAAACTGGATTGTTCCTAGCATTACCTATAGATATCCATGACGGACCCATATTAGTTGTTCGAAAGAAACTTAGAAATCAGCTGCAACTTGTTCTTTCAAAATGGAGGTAAGGCTCTTTCCAGTGTCCCATTTTGCCTTCTACTTTTAGTGTAGTGTCTGGAAAATTGAGTGCACTTTTTTTTTTTTTTCCTTCGCAGTACTAGGGTATGAACTGAGGGCCTCACACTTGGCTAGGCAGATGCTCTACCACTAGAGCCACTCCACGAGCCCTGTTTTTGTGTTGGGTTTTTTTCTAGTTTGTGTCTCTTGCCTGGGCTGGCTTCAAACCTCGGTCCTCCTGATCTCTGTCTCCTATGTAGCTAGGATTACAGGAGTAAACCACCAGTGCTGAGCTCTGAGTGTATTTCTATTTTGTGTTTTTGCTTTTTTTTTTTTTTTTTTCCCTTTTGAAAGCTGTGATTTTGTGTGACCTTTTTTATTTTTATTTTTTGGTGGTATGGCTTGAACTCAGGGCCTCACAATTGCGAGGCAGGCACTCTACCATTTGAACCACTCAGGCAACCTGAAAGCTGAGATTATAATCAGAAGTTGACTAGTAGGCAAGAAATCGGAGTAAGGAGGTAGAAATTCTGGAGGTATGTTTGCTTTATTTTGCTGGGAGAGCCTAGGGCATTAGTGTTAACCAGGACTTTTGTGACCACATTGTTTATGTCCACCATATCAAGCTTTCCTCCATACCTGAACCTTGGCGGGTGCCCAGTAAACAAGTTTTTCTTTCTTAGACCTGCTTTTATCCTTACCCACCCACTTCCTGTTGTGCATGGTGTTTCTTTACTCGTATTAATATGCTTTGGTTAGTCATGTTCCTGTTTTCTTGGATCTGGGAGATATTCTTTCTCCTTCATATGTTTATTTAGATTGACATGAATTTTTAAAAACCTCTCCCCTGTGTAGGGTGGCAAAATGGCAGAATTTAGGCTGAATTATGCTTTCAAATATGTTTTGTTTTAACAGCATTGTATTGTAAAGTTGGGAAATTTCAAAAAAATTCTGAGTTTTGTTTTCTCTGTAAAAAATGGGAAACAAGGGTATACTAGGCCTACGACAATTGGTTGGAATCAAGTAAGTAACTGGTCCTTTTAATATAGGTTATGTCCTTGCCATTTCGCCACAGTCTCCACTTGGCACTTGCTTCCCTTATTTATGTCACCTGCTCCATATGTATTTAATTTTTGTAACCATTGGCCGTAGTGAAGCTTCTTATCTAAGAAGGGCTGAGAATCTATCTGCTGCCTTTCCTTTCTTCCCTAGGTTCTTGCATTGTGGGATGGTTTTACAAGGACAGCACCAACTTCTTGCAAGCCTTTGCCCTAGGCATATCTCATCACTTGTTGATAGTCCCAGGATTAGACAATAGTTGCTTAGTCTCAAGGCTGAGTAGTAGAAGCAATTGCTTAAGAGCTTCCCTTAGGGAAAACAAACTAGAATGAGCAAGAGCCACAAGATAAAAGATCTGACATGTTCTCAAGTTGAAACAAGAATATTTGTTTCCTTTAATAGTATTTATTGTTTTGCTTTGTTCTGGTTGCAAAAGAAAGTACAAAGAAGTCAGGTGCCAATGGCTCACACCTGTAATCCTGACTACTTGGGAGGCTGAGATCAGGAGGATGGAGGTTAGAGGCCAGCTTGAGGAAATAATTCATGAGTCCCCTATCTCCAGAATAACCAGGGCAAAATGGACTGGAGGTCTGGCTTAAGTGGTAGGGTGCCTGCTTTGCAAGTGCAAACCGAGTTCAGAAAAAAAAAAGGAGAAAAAGAAAGAAATGAAAAGAAAATGCAAAGAAGAAAATTAGTTGCCTCCAGTCTCATCTGGCATGGATTATCCTATTGGCATTTTGGTTTGTAACTGCCATTCTCATATTAGTACATACACACACACACACACACACACACACACACACGTATGGTATGTATGAATGAGTGTATTTATTAGATCAAGTCACACATTCACAGAACTGAAAAATTCCATGATGACCATCTGCAAGCTGGAGAGCCAGAAAATTCCTTAATCTAGTCAAACTGACATCCAAATTAAGCACCATAAATAGGTTTTATTTATTTATTTTTGGAACACAGGTTTGAATTCAGGATTTCAAACTGCCAAAGCTGGTACTCTGCTGCTTCAGCCAACCTCCAGTCCACTTTGCTCTGTTTATTTTGGAGATGGGGGGGGGGTCTCAGGAACTATTTGCCCAACCTGGCCTTAAACTGCGATCCTTCTTATCTGTAGCTAGGATTACAGGCATGAGCCACAGGCTCCCGGCTCTCTTGAAGTTTTTTTTTTTTTTTTTTTAGATGCTTTCTTTCTTTCTTTTTTTTAAATTTATGTTCATTTATTTACATGTGCATACATTGTTTGGGTCATTGCTTCCCCCCTACCCCATAACCCCCCACCCCCACTTCCAGGCAGAATCTGTTCTGCCCTTACCTTTAATTTTGTTGGAGAGAAAACAAAAGCAATAATAAGAGAGACAAAGCATTTTTGCTAGTTGAGGTAAGGATAGGTATATATAGAGATTCCTAGCATTGCTTCCATGTACCAGTGTGTTACATCCCAGGTTGATTCATCTCTTACTGACCTTTTCAGTAGTTTCTGATCCCCTTCTCATGTTGAGCTCTGTCACTTCAAGTTTTCTGTATTAGTTCCTTTATAGTAGGGACATCAAATACTTTCATGTTTTGGGTTTCTTACCTATAGAAAATGCTTTCTAATCACTACCTAATATTCTGTTAGGAATATAAACTTATATATTCAGTGCATGTAATTGAAGAAATAAATTGCTTTCTGTTGTTTGCCCTGAATAATTTTTATTTTCCCTAATTTGGCTTCTGGAGGACAGTAGCATTGTTATGGGGATGGCATAGAAGCTAATCTGACACTTGGTTCATTGGGAAATTGGAAGAGAACTTGCTTTTTCTTTTCCTTCTATATTTATATATGTGGAGTTAGTAATATAGTAGCTTATTTGATTATTTATGTGGTATACTTTGAGTACCTTTGTCTGAAATGCTTGGAACAAGAAGTTCTCAGAGTTTTTTTGGGGGACTTGGAATATTTACATAGACTTTACCAGTTGAGCCATTCCTAATCTGAAATTGAAATGTTTCTCAGTCCATAACTTTTTGAATCCATGTTTCCAAGGTGTCCAGCACTCCAAACCAGTAACACCATCTTTCTCTTTGCTCAGGGAGATGGTACTGGAGTTGCCAGTATTTATCGGGGGCCATTTGCAGATGAAAATTTTAAACTTAGACATTCAGCGCCAGGCCTGCTTTCCATGGTAAGTGAAGTCCAGTTAAGAGTTGGGGTTATATTGATAGCTAGCTGGCTTCTGGTCCATTATTGAGGCCCAATCCTATCTCTCTCTGAATATGAGCAAATGCTTTCCTTCTCTTGCTTCACCTAGACCTCACTTCTACCACCCCCTCCTCCTTCCTTATCCTGGTCTGATTTTGTTGGACAGGGTCTACTAGTAGGCTTAAGAACTAAAATTGAGCTCTGATGTGTTTATTACATTTATGTGCACTAGGAAATGTGGCTGGGTGTTTAGCCTTTCCTGCTCAGAATGCAGTGTGTTGTGCTTTCAAGACCCAGTGTTCATCTTTTTATTGCCCTAGACACCTTGACTCATTTACTGCAGTCATTCACCCATACTGCCTGCTGACCCCTCAGCTGTTTTTGCTTACTCACATGTTTTTGCTCACCACTACTGCTCCCATGTCCTGGCACTCCTGCTGCCATTTATAATCCCCACTCAGACCTCTCAGTTCCCTGCCCTCCTCATTTACACTGCTGTATCTAACCTACCTCTGCTCACTGTCCTTCATACATGATCCTTTTTACTTGCTCTTGCTCAAAGTCATTCCTCCTTTCCCTGCTCCTCCCGCTTGCTTCTCTCTTACTTCCCACCCCTAGAAAGAATAAATAAGTGTCCCAGAGCTTCAAAAATGTGCTGTATGACTGTTTTTGTACCTGTTTACTGAAAAATGAGTATACATGAGCAGTAAAGACAAATAGAATTAGGATCCCTGGGAATTGTATCCCTCATTCCAAAGTATGGGCATACTTGTCCAGCTCTGGTAGTCCCTTACTTCATAATATGGTATATCCTTGAATACATGTATGAACACCAAAAGTAACCTAATCTTGCATAGAATTCTGAAATACAATAAAAAGTTCCTAATTAGAAGTTACCCCAGACCTTGACTTTAATGTACTGCTAATATTTTATACACACTTGTTTTCCTTCACAGTTTAACCAGAATCACTAAACCCATTAAGTATCTGATTAAGGCTATTGACCTACCTAATATAAGTTCCAGAACTGGCAGAGTAGCTCAAGTGGTAGAGTGCCTACTTAGCAAGCATGAGAGCTTGAGTTCAAAATTTCATTTTGGGCTGGTGGAGTGGCTTAAGTGGTAGATCACCAGCCTAGCAAGTATGAGACCCTGAGTTCAAACCCCAGTACCACCAAAAAAAAAAAAAAAAAGTTCCAGTTTTATCTCAGTAGTAGTAATCTTATGAGACCTGTGTTTCTTTTAGTAGTTAGTAACATTTTCAGGTTTTTACTTCCTACTCTTTCCCCCCCCAAAAAATAAGGGAAATATGCAATAAAATCTTCACATAGTTACACAGATACTGTTGTAAGTCAGTGCTGCTAAACCTTAACATGGGCTTGTTAGTCTATGAAAGTCTGAATTTAGCATATAATAAAGATAGTTTAATGGTGATCAGTATAATATGTACAAAAGTACACTTCAGATGAAAGTCAAATGTTCTCTACAGTGTATCACTCTGTGTTGTGATTATAGCCTGTTCTTTTAAAATACATTATTAAATACAACATGTAAAAAAATTTCAAGTGAAAAAGAAAGAGATGTAGCTAAAGAGTCTCATTCTCATTTTAAAAATAACTTTGACTGTAAAATTCAGCAATAAGATGTGGGGCATAGCTGTAAGTACGAATAATCACAAAACAAACATAAATTACATATAGTCTCTTTTCAAGCATAGCTCTAGTACAGCAGCTTCTTACTCCTTAAAAATATTGATACTATTTTTATAATACTGTGTAAACTCATTCAGACAAAACATCTTATTGCATAGGTAACAGGTATTTTCCCAGCTGGTAGCTAATTTGTAACTATAATCCAGTTATAACTACTTTAGAACTAAATATACCATGTCATGTCATATTATGTAAACAATTGATTCTATTATAAAAACTCACACTGTAGGGCAAATGCACATTTAGTCAAGGGTCTAGCTCTTACTCATTTTTGTCCTTTTGTCCTAGTGTAGGCCCTGGCTTATAATAGTTTTGCTAAAAGAAAGCATGAAGGGGACAGGACTAAGCTCCACAGACTGTGGAGCTAAACATGGCCAGGGTAACTTACTGCAAGTATATTTGGTTTCTATCAGGCAAACAGTGGTCCTAGTACAAATGGCTGTCAGTTCTTTATCACCTGCTCCAAGTGTGATTGGCTGGATGGGAAACATGTAGTGTTTGGTAAGTCCTCCTCCTTTCCCATTGTCTAGACCCTATTCATCTAAGTTGGGACTTCCAGAGGATCCAGTCCTTACACTCTCACTAGGAGTGCTGAGCTGGTGTAACTGCTCTAGGTAGTCATAGGGAAGATAGAAGTGGTGGGGATGTGGGGGAAATGTGTGGTTAAGAGAACTAGAAAGGGGATGTGAGGGCGATCTGGCTGTGACATCTGTCACCCCATTGATTGCCAGGGTTGATTTGGCTGATCTGGCTGGCTAGGCGGGTGTCCCCTTCCTCCCTCACTGCTCCATGTGCGTCCCTCCCGAAGCTGCACGCTCGGTCAAAGAGGATGACCATCCCCGATAGAGGAGGACTGTTCTTCGGTCAAGGTATACAAGTAGCTGCGCTCCCTGCTAGAACCTCCAAACAAGCTCTCAAGAGAACTAGAAGGAAGGACAGGAGACCATCTGCTGTAGTATGTAACCTCTGGGTTAATACGTATTCTAGAGGAAAACCCAGATGCTAGCACTAAAGAAAAGCTAGAGACAGAGACAACAATGGCTCAGGAGGACTTTAGAATCACTCAAACCTAAGCCCTAACTCCACTACTTATCACCTGTGACCTTACTCAAGTCATTTCTCCTCACTGAATCTCTAATGTAATCTCATTGTTAAAGAGGATCTAATGTGATAATAACTAAAAGTGGGAAGATGCTGTGTGTGAGAGAGAAGGATACAGTCTAGCTCATACTCTTCTTATAGGAAAAATCATTGATGGACTTCTAGTGATGAGAAAGATTGAGGTAAGTCCTGCCTGGATGTCCTCTTTTTCAACCTTTGTGGTCCAATACCATCTGCCCTCCAGCGATGAGCTGAAGAAGGTCAATGGGCTCCAGTATGTTAGGTCTAGTTGTCATTGTTTTGGTGGGACTGGGGTTTGAACTCAGGGCCTTGATCTTGTTCTACCACTTGAGCCACACCCACTAGCCCTTTTTGCTTTAATCATTTTTCAGATAGGGTCTCACATTGTTGGCCTGGGCGGGTCCCAGCCTAGACTATGATATACTTAAACCTCCCACACAGCTGGGATGACGGGTACATGGCACCACACCCAGCTTGTTTGTTGAGTTGGAATCTCACTAACTTTTTACCCAAGTTGACCTCAAGCTGTGATCCTTCAAATCTCTCTGCCTCCTAAGTAGCTGGGATTAGTGGTGTGAGCCACCACACTGGCCTTTTAAGTTTTCTTGGCTCCTTAAATTAAGCTCTCCAGCCCACGCTGAAGTTTGGCCTCCAATGACCCTGTCACCTACTTGACAAAATTTTACCCCTTGGCATTTCATTCAAAATTCTTCATGACCTGTCCTTGCCAAATCTCTGGGGCGCCCTCTCCTACCAGTGCCTCCTCTTTTCCAGTCATATCAGCCTACTAGCTCTTCTTTAAATATGCCATACATGCCCCTACTTCCTGCCCCAAGCCTTTGCTCAGGTTGTTTTTTCTCCTGGGAATGCTCTTTCTTTTCCTTCTAGGCCTGGCTCAAATGTCCCCTCTCTGAATCCTCCCTCTGACCTCTTTAAGCATCACTTTATTTACTCTATCTGCCCCTTGACAACTCTCTCTCTTATAACTTACTACATAGTTATGTATCACAGGTTTGACATTTTCTCAGCATTTTACATTTTCTTCTTAATTTGTATTGTGCTTTACCTGTCTGCTAGGACATGCACTGTTTTGGAGTCCTGGGTCCTTAGCATAGGGGCTGGCAGGCCTCAGTAAAGACTCATGAGAGAGTAAGTGCCTGAGTACATGTGTTTGCTTTCTCTCTCTCTCTCTCTCTCTCTCTCTCTCTCTTGGTTTCTGTGGTGCTAGGGATTGAACCCAGGGACTTGCACATGCTAGGCAAGTGCTCTACCACTAAGCTACATCCCCAGCTCTCCATTGTGCTTTCTTTTCTAGAATGTCCCCACGGGCCCCAACAATAAGCCTAAGCTGCCTGTGGTGATCTCACAGTGTGGGGAGATGTAGTCCAGATGCAGACTGAATCAGGTAAGTATACCTTTCTCCTACCTGGGTAGGAGAAAGCAGCATGGTGTAGTAGAAAGAACTTTAGACTTGAAGACATTGGATTAAACCCATTTCCTTCTATATGACTTTAGAGAAGTCATTCCCTTCTCTGAGCTCGTTTTCTCATCTATCAAAAAGAGAATACTGTTGGTGGTGCAGTTCAAGTAGTAGAGCACTTGAGGACCAGAGTTCAAACCATAGTACTGCTAAGCCAAAAAATAAAAGAGAAAAAGAGAGTAGTACACTTAACTCTTTAGAGTCATCATGAAGATCAAAATAGGAAGGATTCTGGAAGTACTTTACTTTTCTACTACTTTGTAGTATACAAAGTATAAACCTGAAAACCACTCAAGCGGTTTCTAACAACACCATAAAACTATAGTTCTATTTAGTACTCCCAATAGAAGGACCTGGCTCCAGTCCTGGGTGACTCTGCTGGGACCAGCCTAGCCAGCCAGGAGACACATCTGTCATGCCTGTCATCAGAACTGACACTGCATTCAGGTCCTGACTTTGTATTTGCTGACCTTGTAGATACATGCAACACATTGCTCAGCATGGACACACTCCCTTTGTATCTGCTTGCCACTGCCTGCTCCATGTTAGGCAGCATGTTAGCAAAGAATTGAATGACAGTCTTTACCTTTCAGGAGTGCATGGGAAATGAGGCATACATACTAGTGATATGACATTGCTCAGTGATATGAGTACAAAATAGGGCCGAGGGGTGGGGGTGAGGGGTGGTGGAATGGCTGAAGTTGTAGAGTGCTTGCCTAGTAAGTGCAAGGACCTGAGTTCAAACTCCAGTACTGTAAAAAAAAAAAAATGATAAAAGAATACAAAAGAGAATTGATCACTTGGACCTAGGTGGAGGAGAGGGGTGGTGGTGTTTACCACTTTAGCCATACCTCCAGCCCTTCTTTTTAAAATTTTTATTATTTTTTTTATTATTGTTGTACTGGGGGTACACTGTGACATTTACAAAAGTTCTTATAATATATCATAGTTGAATTTACCCTCTCCATCATTCTCCTTTATCACCCTCCCCCCAATTCCTGGAATAGTTTCAACAGGTCTCATTTTTCCATTTACATACATGCGTACATAATATTTTCACCATATTCATCCTACTTCTATTATTAAAATTTTTTTTTAAATTAGTCGTACTGGGGTTTGAACTTAAGGCCTTGCACTTGTTATGTCTTTTTAAAGATTTTAGACCTGCAGAAAAGTTGGGAAAATAGTACATTAAACACCCATATATCTTTCACCTAGATTCACCAATGATTAACATTTTATCACTTTGTCTTGACATTTGGTTTCACGCCATCCATTTTTATTCCCTCTCCTTTCTCTTGCCCTTCTTTCCTTTCCTGTGCTGTCCTATCCTGTCCTGTCCTTCCCTTCCCTTCCCTAAATTTGATCTTAGGGCTTCATGCTTGCAAAGCAGGTGCTCTACTGCTTGAGCCACAACTCTAGTCTATTGTGCTTTGGTTATTTTGGAGATGAGGTCTTGAGTCACAATCCTCCCAATCTCAGCCTCCCAAGTAGGTAGGAGTACAGGGTGTGTTTTTTGTTTGTTTGTTTGTTTTGTTTTGGTACTGGGGTTTGAACTTAGGGCCTTACGCTTGCTAGGCAGGTGCCCTACCACTTGAACTACTCCCCCAGCCCTAGGATTACAGGTTTGAGGAAGTTAATTTTTTTTTTTTTGGCTGCACCTGAAAGTGAACTCAGAGCCTTGTGCTTTCTAGGCAGGTGCTCTACCACTTGAGCCACACACCCAGCCCTTTTTGCTTTAGTTATTTTTCAGGTAGGGTTGACTCTTTTTTTCTTTGCCTGAGGCTGGCCTCAGACTGAGATGTTCCTAGGGCCTCCCATGTAATTGGGATGAGAGTTGTTTGCCACCTACCATACCGGGATTATTGGTCTCAGTAATTTTTTGCCCTGGCTGGCCTGAAACCTGTATCTTCCTGATTGATTTCTACCTCCCAAGTAGCTGGGATTTCAGGTTTGAGTTATCATGCCTGGCTTTTTCAAAGTAACCTTTCTAGCTTGGGGGAAAAAAGCTCTTGACCAGACATGTCATATTCCTTCCCAGGTATTTGGAGAAGCTGAGGTAGAAGGTCAGGGATTTAAACCAGCCTGGCAACAAAGCAAGATCCCTTCTTAAAAATAGATAGATAGATAGATAGATAGATAGATAGATAGATAGATAGATAGATATAAATTTCCAATATTTCATTGGTTGTTTATTTTTAATTATACAAGTAGCATAATCTCATTGTAAAACTTTCACATCACAGACATAAAGTGGAAGTCTCTCCTGACAGAACCTTATCTCCAAACTCCCTTCCCTCCCCAGAGGTCGTTTCCTTATCACTTTAGTATATTTTCATCAAGACTTTTTCTTTGCTCCTCTAGTTGGAAGAATTTCTTTTTCCTAAATGACATTGTACTATAGTGTCATCCCCCCTTCTTCCTGCAGCTTGGTATTATGTTTTAAAAACTTTACCTCTAGTTAATGTAAACAGGCTGATGGAGTGGGTCAAATGGTAGAGAGAGTGCCTGCTTAGCAAGAGCTCAAGGCTTTGAGTTACAACTTCAGTATCACCAAAAAATATAAATAAAACGTAATATTCTTAAGACATTTATACAGTGTAATCTACCTTCCCCTTAATGATTTGAATAGTTACACATTATGAGTATTAGTTCTTTGTTTTATATGTTGTAACTGTGTTCTCCAGAATGCATTTTAGGAAAAGGTTGGCATTGTGTTACTTGTTTAATTATAATCTCTGTTAAACAGAAGTTCTAAATTTGTTTTTTGAGACAGGGTCTCACTATATAGTCCAGGTTGGCCTGGACCTCACCATGTAGCCCAGACTGACCTCCAACTTACAATCCTTCTGCCTCAACCTCCCACATACTGGGATTATAGTTATGTGCCCCCACACCCAGCTTAGAAGTTCTGAATTTTTTTTTTTTTTGGCAGTACTAGAGGTTGAATTCAGGGCTTCTCACTTGCTAGGCAGGCACTGTACCACTTGAGCTACTCCACCAGTCCTTTTGAGATAGAGTCTCACATCAGGCCGGACTGGACCACAATCCTTCTATTTGTGCTTCCTGAATAGTTAAGAGTGACAGGAGTGTACCACCTTGCCCAGCCCAGCCCAGCCATTGGTTGAGATCGGGGTCTTCAAACTTACCAGAGCTGGCCTTGAACCATGATCCTCACAAGCAGCTACTATTTATTACAGGCATGAGCCAATGGCACCAGGATAGAAAAATTGCTAGTTTATTCTTTTCTCTTTCCTCCCCTCCCCTCCCCTTCATATGTAGAAAGCATGGGGTGGTGGTGGGGGGGACATGACACACAACGACATACATTTCCTGTTCCCCATGCACCCATGCAGGAAATGGGAGCAAAGACTCTTTACTAGTTTCTTAATGGCTTTTCTGCTTTGTCTTATTTAAAGATTTTCACTACCTCAGATTATATCTTCTATATTCTTTTGACATTATCTACGTACTTACAAAATTATGTGGAACTTATTTTTCTGTATGGTGTAGAATAGGACTGTTGTCTTTTTTTCCCAAATGGAGATAAAGTTAAATACCAGACCAGTTTAATAACCCTACATACCTTCATCTGTTCAGGGCACTTATAAGTATTCAGTAAAAACTTATTACATGAGATAGCAGAGAGGGAGAATGTCACGCACTTAAAACAGGGAACTGATGTGGGCAAATGCTGAGGCAGGAATGTACTGTGTGGTGGGAGCTACAGGTGGACTGTCTCTTATCTAGCCAAATGCTCTCTTCTCAGGCTTACTTGACACCCTGAGCCTTATTACTTTCTGCCAGTACTTGGGATCCCTTGGGTTTAATCTGTTCTCTGCCTTCCATTCCCTACCTCTCCCATTCATTTCTTTTCTTTTATTTTATCGTTTTTATATTTACTCATGTGTGTATACATTGTTTGGGCCACCCCACCCCATTTCTTTTCTTTTTTCTTTTTTTTTTGGCAGTACTGGGGTTTGAACTCAGGGCCTACACCTTGAGCCACCCTACCAGTCCTTCTCTGTGATGGGTGTTTTTGAGCTAGGGTCTTGAGAACTATTTGCCTGGGCTAGCTTCAAACCATGATCCTCCTGATCTCTGCCTCCTGAGTAGCTAGGATTACAGGCATGAGCCACTGGTGACCAGCAGCATCTCTGATCTTATTGGAGTGGTTTCTATTCCTCATTTTATTTTGGACAGATAACCACATAGATGATTTTAATATTTATTGGGCAGTATTTCTCCTACTTCATTTATTTATTTATTTGGCAGTTCTGGGGTTCGAACACAAGGCTCCACGTTTGCTGGGCAGGCACTCTACCACTTGAGCCACTCTGCCTGACCTGTTTTTTTTTGTGATCAGTATTTTCCAAGATAGGATCTCTCAAAATTTGCCCAAGCTGGCTTCAAACTGTGATACTCCTGATCTCTGCTTCCTGAGTAGCTAGAATTACAGGCATGAGCCAGGGGTCATGGCTTTCATAGTTTAATGTACATATGAATCTCAAGAAGAACATGTTAAAATGCTGGTCCTGGTTCAGTGGATCTGGGTAGGAACTGAGATTTTTAATTTCTAATCAACCCTCAGGTGATGGTGCTGATGCTGAATGGCAGGGCCATTTATATGGGGAATAACAGGTCTGTCTGTTCATTGAGAACATACCATTTTCCAAACAAAAGACCCAGATCTAGGAGACAATCTCTTAGTGGTCCAGCAAGAATCTGCTGTATTCAGATCAAGATATCACTTCATCATGCAGCTGAGATCTTATGCCCAGGCTCTGAGAATATGAGATGAAGAAGCTAGAAAGGAGATAAGAGTCGGGTGAGGTCACTGGACAGTTGTACCTCCCTGTGGAAAATTTCTTTCAGAACTCTTATATTTTGCCTTCCCGGGTCCTGAATTTTGTTCTGTTAAAAAT